GATATATGATTATAATTTGTCTGCACAGGACATCGGACGACCACTAGGACTTGCAGTGTCAGAATACAGCAGTCAGCGTGATGATGATGACGACCCCCACAGAGGCCCTCACCACCACACCACTTCACCACACCACGACGATTCAAGCGAATACGACTATTACGGAGATGACCTCGAACCCTACAACGACTACGAATACGGCGACTTCCCGGACTACGTATACAGTGATGAAATCGAGGGCTTTGGACATGGGCGCATCTATGACTTCAATGGGAGGGAACCAGAGACTGATATTGATCTGGAAGACAGCGACGTTACTGTGAATAAAATTGAAGACAGAGGAAAGGAGAAGGAGGAAGGAGAGGACAAGAGGACAGATATGAAGGTGATGTCAGCAGACGCGAGTGACCCCAGAGACGACCTGGACACTACTTCTACTGAAACAGACGACGAAGATATGCTGGAAGGCTCAGGTGTGAAGGACATTGGAAAATTTGGTGAGTGTAATTTGCTGTTTGTGTGCTGTTGGCGAGCACTTCCTCTCAGCCCTACTCTCGTTCCTCATGTGTTTGTTGTTGCAGGGGTCGAGTCACAGCTCCTGGACCCGCCCCTTTGCTGGTCGCTACTAAATCCCCACTCCTTTTTATAAGAACTTTATCGTACCTCTTTTTAAAGCTAGGTATGGATCCTGCCTCCACTACATCGCTCTCCAGACTTTTCCACTTCCTGAAAATTCTATGGCTAAAGAAATACTTATTGACACTCGTGCGACTCCTCTTAGTTTTCAGTTTCAAGTTGTGACCTCTCGTTTCTGTGTCCCATCTCGTAAACATTTTATCCCTGTCCACCTTTGTCAGTTCTTCTCATTATTTTATTTGTCGTTATCATGTACCCCATATTCCTAATTTGTCGTCATAGCACATGCCCCTTAACTCTGGGACTAGGCTTCTCGCCAATCTTTGCACCTTATCTAATTTCTTGACGTGCTTGAGGTGTGGGTTTCATGCTGGAGCTGCATACTCCAGTATGGTCCTGACGTTCACAATGTACAATATTTTGAGTTCCTCCTTACTAAGATGCCGAAACGTTGTTTGCCAGGTGCCCATACGTTGCAACATTTATTTGGTTGATGTGCACCTCTTGGGGTGTGTAAATCTGCGTGTGCGAGTGTATGTGTGTGTGTACTCGCCTATGTGTACTCGCCTATTTGTGGTTGCAGGGGTCGATTCATAGCTCCTGGCCCCGCATCTTCACTGATGTGCGCCTCAAGAGATGTGCTCGGTATTATACTCACCCCAAGATCTTTTTTCTTGAGTGAGGTTTGCAGTCTTTGGCCACTTGGACTATACTGTGTGTGTGTGTGTGTACGTGTGTGTGCACGTGTGTGTGTACGTGTGTGTGTACGTACTTGCCTAATAAGCCTAATTGTGCTTGCATCATATCTGGTTGATATGTATTAAGGCTGGTATGTATCCTTGTGGCACCCCTCGTGTGACTTCTTACCTCGAGAATATTTTTCCTTTTATAACTGTTAGCATTTTCTTAACTCCCCCCCCCCAAAAAAAAATCGCATAAATTATTAAATTTATTTTAAATATCTTAGATTTTGCAGTTTCCAGAGTAATCATTACTGAAATACTCAATCAAAAAAACTTTCTTTGAGTCTAGGTAAATACAGTCTGCCCATTCATTACTTTCTAGAATAATTTCCGTTACTGTCATAATAACTATACATTTAATAACCATAAATTTGCAGAATGAAAAAAATGCCAGTTTACCAGGTGCTAAAGGAACTTTCTCTAATATTTTTATTTCTGTTCTTTACATGTCAAGAAGAAAGGGCTGTAGTTTGAAGAGTCTTACCTACCACCATTTTTTGTTAAATACTGGCCCATAGTGTTGCCATCATGTGTATCTTTATATCCATATCACCATTAATATTTCATTTTATATTTAGGCTTTCATCATTTATTTCTACACTATAAAAATACTTTATTCCCTCATGATCATTTGTTGCTGTTCGACTGTCAGCCTTGTTTACGTCATAAGCCTCGACTCCGGCAGAACTGATGTGGTCTGTGTGGTCCGGTTGCTCCACGTCTTGTGACGGAGGCGTCAGGATACGCTCGTACAGATGCGTACCCAACCAGCTTTTCTTCAAGGAGTGCGTCCGGGCAGGAATCGAGACGCAGGAGCAACGAGCATGTAACCTGCAACCCTGCCCTACATCCACCACACCACGTACCTCTTCCACAAGTACCACTGCTGCTGCTGCTACCACCACCACCACCACCACTACAACCACCACCACTGCATCCCCCACCACTACCACCACAACCACCACCACAACGGCCAGCACTCCTTCCTCTACACAGCCAGAAATGGACAACATGATTCACACTATACCGTATATGACCTCAACTGACACATTCTCACCTCCACCGGTCACAGCTACGCCACTAGACCAGCTCATGACCATACCTCCCTCCTCCACAACAGCTCCCCCTACATCTTCCACCACCACAGCCACACCCCGGGCTAGAGTGGTAGAGATGCATCCACTCTTCCCCACCACACTCGTCAGTGACACTTACAACGGTACCACAAAGGTGTACCCAGAAAGAAAACCACAGAAGGTTTCTAAAATGGACGACAACTCTATATGGAAGGTCAGTATTTCAGTCTTTACACAGAACACAAATAACTCCCACATAGGAGAGTGAAGCTTTGGATGACGTTTCGGTCCGGCTAGGACCATTTACAAGTCACACTTGTAAATGGTCCAAGACGGATCGAAACATCGTCATAAGCTTTTCTTTCTAACGTGCGGGTTATTTGTGTATTGTTCTGGTCACCATATTGTTCCTGTTTGTTCATTTGAAGGTTGTATTATATACGTATGTTTGCAAGAGATTCACATTTCTAAATAGATCTGTGGTGTTCATTCATTGACTTTTCTCCTAAATTTCCAATATCTGACTGGCATTTGAGATCTTTAATTTCTAGCTGTTTTAGGAATGACGTCCTACTTGATTAGTAGCCAGATAGACTGTGATCTTGATGATCATTGCGATCAGAAGGCCTTAGAGAGAAAGTGTTTGTGTGAGTTTGTGAGACTGAGACGGGGAAAGGACGGAGGTTATTACTGAATCGTTCCAGTTTAGGTATTGTGATCTTTATTGCTCACAATGTAGATTGGTTTAATTTGCCTTTAATACCTCCTACAACAGACGATGGCGGAAAGAGACATAAACGAAGTGGTGCCGAGGGGCGTGCCACCCCCGCCGCTGCATGGCTCTTACAGCAAGAGGACGTCATGGAACCACAAGTGGAGCTACCAGTACCACCACCACCACCACCATCACCAGGAACACCGCATGAGGCATCACCATAACAAACGTATGTAAAGTTTTACGTTTTCTGTATACTCAAACATCACGATACATAAAAGTAAACAAGAGATATTACAAACTGTATATGACACTTCTACGACTACAACTTTTATTGCTGCTGCTACTACTACTACTACATTGGGCTAGTAACCTCTTGTCCTCTACAAAATACTAAAATAGAGAAGAAAAACTATATAAAACTAGGATGCTTGAGTGTGCGCGGATGTAGTGGGGAGAAATCTGTTGGCGTGCATCACGAGTGGTGTTCCACAGGGGTTAGTGTTGGGCCCTTTGTTTATAATTTATGTAAACGACATTGATGAGGGAATAAATAGCGACATCAGCAAGTTTACTGATGACACCAACATAGGTCGCCTAATTCATTCAAATGAGGACAAGTGAGAAGGCAGATGCAGTTTAATATAGACAAATGCAAAGTTCTAAACACTGGACAAGAAAATGACTACGCCACATATAAACCAAATAATGTAGATCTTAATATTACTGATTGCGAAAAGGATTTGGGAGTTTTGGTTAGCAGAAATCTGAAACCAAGACAGTGCATAAGTGTTCGCAATATAGCGAACAGAATCCTTGGCTTCATATCTTGAAGCATAAATAACAGGAGACCTCAGGTTGTTCTTCATCTACATCTTCAGTTAAGCCTCATTTAGATTATGCTGCACAGTTTTGGTCACCGTATTACAGAATTTGACTTAGAGAGTATATAAATCTGTAGTGGAGGGAAGGCGGGGTAGGGGTCGGCCTAGGAAAGGGAGGTAGGTAAAGGAGGTTATGTGTGCGAGGGGCCTGGACTTCCAGCAAGCGTGCGTGAGCGTGTTTGACAGGAGCGAAAGGAGACGAATGGTTTTTAGGACTTGACGTGCTGTTGGAGTGTGAGCAAGGTAACATTTATGAAGGGATTTAGGGAAACCGGCAGGCCGGACTTGAGTCCTGGAGATGGGAAGTACAGTGTCTGCACTCTGAAGGAGGGGTGTTAATGTTGCAGTTTTATAACTGTAGTGTAGGCATGCCTCTGGCAAGACAGTGATGGAGTGAATGATAATGGAAGCTTTTCTTTTTCGGGCCACCCTGCCTTTGTGGGAAACGGTCGATGTATTAATAATAAAGCAAATTTCAGAATGGGCATAAATGCACTAGAAAACACACAAAAGAGGATGACAAAGTTGATCCCATGTATCAAAAATCTTCCCTATCAGGATAGACTGAGGGCCCTGAATCTGCACTCGAGAACGGCGTAGAATTAGGTGTGATATGATTGAGGTGTATAAATGGAAAACCAGAATAAATAGAGGGAATATAGCGTGCTAAAAATATCTAGCCAAGACAGGACTCGCAGCAATGGTTTTAAGCTGAAAAATTCAGATTCAGGAAAAATATAGGAAAGCACTGGTTTGTTAATAGTTGTGGATGAGTGGAACAAACTCCCGAGTACTGTCATAGAAGCTAAGACGTTGTGTAGCTTTGAAAATGGGTTGGATAAATACCCGAGTGGGTGAGTGATGTTACTTGACCTGACTAGGTGGGTCATTGGTTGTAGCGGGGAGGTGACTTAGACTTGCCTCGCATGGGCCAGTACGCCTGTTGCTGTGTTCCTTCTTTCTTATGTTCTTATGATAGAGATGACTGTTAATGTTATGAAAGAAAAGTTGCATATCGGGGATACTTGAGTTTCAGTGGGAAAAAATAAATGGGATTAAAGTATCTGAGAGAGTTGGAGCTTAGGAAAGGGTAGCAATAATGTTGTTGGATACGAAAAGTGGGTCATAATAAGTGTCTATACACCTGGAGAGGAGAGAGAGAGAGATTTTTGGGAGATATTAAGCGAGTATGTAGGAACTTTTGAAGCAAGTGAGAGAGTAACTGTGTTAGGGGACCTAAATACTAAAGATAAACATTTAAAGAGGGTGTAGTAGGTAAGTTTGGGGTGCCAGGTGTAAATGATAATGGGAGCCTTTTGATTGAACTTTGTGTAGAAAGGGGTTTGGTTGTAGGTAATACATATTTTAAGAAAAAGAGGATAATTAGTATACAAGATACGATGTAGGGCGTAACAACAGTAGTTGGACTACGTAATGGTTGATAAAAAAACTGTTGGGCAGACTTCAAGATGTACATGTTTATAGATGGGCCACAGATATATCAAATCACTTTCTAGTTGTAGCTACCGTGAGAGCTGAAGGTAGATGGGGGGATACAAGGAAAATGGAAGCAGCAAGAGAGGTGAATGTTTATAAACTAAAGGAGGCAGTTAGGGTAAGATATAAACAACTGTTGGAGGATAAATTGGCTAGTGAGAATATAGGCAATGGGGTAGAAGATGCATGGGGTAGGTTTAAGAATGTAGTGTTAGTGTTCAGCAGAAGTTAGTGGTTACAGGAAAGTGGGTGCGGGAGGGAAGAAGAGCGATTGGTGGAATGATGTAGAGTGAGTAGTAAGAAAGTTAGCATACGAGTTTTTTTTTACAAACCTGAAGTGATGCAAGAAGGGAGGAGTATATGGAGAGAAAAAAGGAGAGGCTAAGAGTGTTGAAGTAATGTAAAGAGAGAGGAAATGAGAGAGTAGGTGAGATGTTATAAACAAATTTTGTTGAAAATAAGAAAGTTTTGGAGTGAGATTAGTAAGTTGAGGAAGTCTAGGGAACGAATGGAGTTGACAGTTAAAAATAGGAGAGGAGAATTATTAAATGAAGAATTTTAGGTATCGGGAAGATGGAGGGAATATTATTTGTAATTGTTAAATGCTGATTAAGATAGGCAAGCTGTGATTTCGTGTATAGGCCAAGGAGGAATAATATCTTGTAGGACTGAGGAAGGGACAGTTGTGAGTGTGGGGGAAAGTTCGTGAGGCAGTGGGTAGAATGATAGGGGGTAAGGCAGCTGGGATAGATGGGATGAAGATAGACATGTTAAAAGCAGGTTGGGATATAGTTCTGGAGTGGTTGGTGCTTTTATTTAATAAATGTATGGAAGAGGGAAAGGTAAGGGATTGGCAGAGAGCACGCATAGTTCCTTTGTTAAAGGCAAAGGGGACAAAAGGGAGTGCAAAAATTATATGGGAATAAGTCTGTTGAGTATACCTGGTAAAGTGTATGGTAGAACTGTTTTCCAAAGAATTAAGAGCAAGACAGATAGTAGGGTAGTAGATGAACAAGAAGGTAGGGGGAGTGTAGACCAAGTGTTTACAGTGAAACTTATAGGTGAACAGTATTTAGATAAGGGTAAAGATTTGGAAAAGGCGTATGACAGGGTGGATATGGGTGCAGTGTGGCAGATGTTGCAAATGTATGTAATGGGAGGTAGATTATTGAAAGAAATGAGTTTTTACGAGGATAGTGAGGCTGAAGTTAGAGTATGTAGGAGAGAGGGAGAATATTTCCCAGTTAAAGTAGGCCTTAGACAAGGATGTGTGATGCCACCATGGTGGTTCAATTTATTTACAAATGGGGTTGTAAGAGAAGTGAATGCTCGGGTGTTGGCAAGAGGTTTGGCATTAAAAGATAAAGAATCTAGCACAAAGTGGGAGTTATCACAGTTACTCTTTGCTGATAACACTGCTTTTAGGAGATTCTGAAGAGAAGTTGCAGAGGTTGGTGGACGAGTTTGGTAGGGTATGTAAAAGAAGAAAATTAAAACTGAATATAGGGAAGAGTGAGGTGATGAGGATAAAAAAATTAGGTAACGAAAGATTGGATATCAAATTGGAGGGAGAGTATGGAGGAGGAGAATGTATTCAGATATTTAGGACTGGACGTGTCCGCAGATGGGTTTATGAAAGCTGAGGTAAATCATGGAGTTGACGAGGGGAAAAAGGTGAGTGGTGCACGGAGGAGTCTGTGGAGACATAGTACTTTGTCTATGGACGTAAAGAGGGGAATATATGAGTATAGTTATACCAATGCTCTTTTATGGCGTGAGGCATGGGTGGTGATGTTGCAACGAGAAGACTGGAGGCAGTGGAGAGGTCGTGTCTGAGGGCAATGTGTGTTGTTAATATACTGCATAGAATTTATGGTTTGGAAATTAGGAGGAGGTGCGGTACATGAAGAGAGGATGGAGCAAAATAGAATAACTTCGAGAGTGTATAAATCTGTAGTGAAAGGAAGGCGGGGTAGGGGTCGGCCTAGGAAAGGTTGGAGCGAGGGGGAGGGGGGAGGGGCTTGGACTTCCAGCAAGCATGCATGAGCGTGTTAGAAGCGAACGGAGGCAAATGGTTTTTAGAACTTGATGTGCTGTTGGAGTGTGAACAAGGTAACATTTACGAAGGGATTCAGGAAAACAGGCGGGTCGAACTTGAGTCCTGGAGGTGAGAAGTACACTGTCTGCACTCTGAAGGACGGGTGTTAATATTGCAATTTTATCACTGCAAAACAGTGGAGGAGTGAATGATGGTTTTCCTTTTTCGGGCCACCATACCTTGGCGAGAGACGGCCGGTATGTTAATAGCAAAAAAAAAAAAAAAATACTGCTTCTGTGTAACGCAGCCGTCCGTCCTTTTTTTTTTTTTGCTTGTATATGTGTATTTGAATTTAATAAGTGCAGTCCACCATATACTGAAACAATAGTTTCAAAGTATTGATGATTAGTAACACAAGGAAGCCACATTACTACTATGGGTTATTAGCTTCATTTGCTATATTATTATTAATAAACCCAAAGCTAAGAAATGAACACAAATACAATTCAGCAATAACCAGGTGTATTTCGATATCTGTGCGATTTAAGGCATCTCAGTGCACGAGATTGACGTAGTGAATAGTGCAGCTTAAGCTTGTAATGATAAATGTTAGTGGTGAAGATCTGAAGCGAATCAGAAGAGGTATTCACAAGTCAACATAAGGTGACTAATATCCGAATTTCATTAAAAATGTTTAATTAGGATATAGACCAAATCTAATTCAATCTCTTCACTAAAAAATAACCAACTTTGATGCTTAACTGCAGAGGCATTCTCTTGTTATCTCAGACCAATATATTGACATAAACAAGCTCATTAGTTTTGAACCCACTCTGAAGCAGCGTTATCACTGTGTTGAACCTCATCGGAAGAGTCTAAACCAAAACAATGAAAGAACCTATACAAACCGAGTAGGACTGACCAGCTTTTCAAGACGTGTAAAACAATAATTCTGTTATTTTTAAGCTATCGGGATATATGTACTATTTTTTTTACTGGTCGTCAGGGCACGTAGATGGTATGGGCACATAAAAGTATATTTAGACTTAACCTAGGAAAACTTAATAAAGTGAGACAATGACGTATTTCTGATCAGACACATACCCCAGGTATTTTTCAGAAATCACTATCGTTAATAAAACTGGTACATTATAACTTATACAACCTAATATGATTTTCTAGTTATTGTACAGACTCCAACAAAATCCGACAGTACACAACTTACAGCCATTGCTTACTAAGGAATCGGCTATTAAAGATTAATAGAATTCAGAAATACTTTATTCTAATAATTGGAAACAGCTAAACCCATCGGAGTCATAGAGCGCTTGTAGACATGGAGGTAAACAGATTTGATCCAAGCAAGAGGAATATAAATTCAGTTCCTTGGATCATTATATATATGGAAGAAGTGGGTTTCTTAAAGCTCCTGGGCTGAAGGGAAGAGTCAGTTGGGAAACGGTTGGTGACTGACGAATACATAAACAGAAGTACTGTTTCCAAATCTTCCCTATTAGAAGCCTGGTAGCTCAGGAGGTAGAACGTTGGACTTGGTATATATATATATAATAATATATATATATATATATATATATATATATATATATATATATATATATATATATATATATATATATATATATATACATATATATATATATATATATATATACATATATATATATATATACATATATATATATATATAAGAACCCACCCAGGAAGACCAGTGTTACCAACCAGCAACCCTCTTGATATGATAGAGGGGCCTTTAATTTTGCCAGAATCAAGTTTATAAAGCGATAGTGTCATTTGAACCAGGATCTGCAGGTTTCCCTGGAATACGACCACAACACATCAGAGATGGTAAATCCAGTACTTGGCACAGTAATTCTCCTTTCTGAGTTGACCTTCAACAACTCTGGAGGGGGAGGATTCCTGAAGAAATTAAACCTTTCTTATTCGGAGCCTCATTATGTGCTTTGAAGAAGGATGGAGGGATCAGACACCCCCCCCCCCCCACTGTCGGTAACACACTTCGTCGTTTTGTTACCAAAGCAGTATAAGAAACATTCGCACAGAAGCCGCCAGTTTACTCCAACCAAACCAATTGGGTTTTGGGGTCTCTGAAGGCAGTGAAGCTGCAGCTTATGCAGCAAGGGCCTACATCAGGGACCTGCCAGAAGACAAGGCCATTGTCAAACTAGACTTTAGAAATGCCTTTAACATGATGAAAAGAGATGTGGTCTTGCCAACTGTTTGAGAGCAGTTCCCCAGTCTTCTCTTTCAGCTGGCTACAGAAAAAAATATTTGGCGAACATGAAATCACCTCATCAAAGGGTGTTCAGAGGGTGACACACTCGCTCCGTTTCTCTTCTGTATGGCGAACTCAGTATTTGGATGATGGCACTCTGGCAGGTACGGGAGAGTCCCTAGTAAGAGGACTTTCAACTGATGAAGTCACAAGAACTATGGGATTCATCCTCAAGCCTTCGAAGTAGGAAATAATCTCAACAAACCAGGAAATAATCACAAAAGTGTGAACAATTCTTCCTGAAGCCTCAACTACCACTTCCCTCTTAGTCATGTTGGGAGCATCGCTGGGCCGTCAAGAGGAACAGAATGACCTGAAGAGGATGGGGGAGAGAATGACGCCCAGTATTTTCTCACAAGAGTAACTTCAGGTGTGCACCCTCCATCGACAGCTCAGCACTTGGTGAATCTAACGCACCTGAATCTGACACTGGAAGATCACCAGTGGGATAAACTATTACTTCCAGTGGAACTATTATTCATTTTTTTTTCATTATTTTATTTATTTTATTAACACATCGGCTGATTTCCATCAAGGCAGGGTGGCCCGAAAAAGAAAAACTTTCATAATCATTCACTCCATCACTGTCTTGCCAGAGGGGTGCTTTACGCTACAGTTATCAAACTGCAACATTAACACCCCTTCAGAGTGTAGACACTGTACTTCCCATCTCCAGGACTCGAGACCGGCCTGCCGGTTTCCCTGAATCCCTTCATAAATGTTACTTTGCTCACACTCCAACAGCACGTCAAGTATTAAAAACCTTTCCTCTCCATTCAATCCTATCAAATACGCTCACGCATTCTTGCTGGAAGTCCAAGCCCATGGCACAGAAAAACCTTCTTTACCCCCTCCCTCCAACCCGCTCTAGGCCCACCCCTACCCCGCCTTCCCTCCACTACAGATTTATACACTTTCGAAGTCATTCTGTTTTGTTTCATTCTCTCCACATGTCCGAACCACCTCAACCCCTCCTCAGCTCTCTGGACAAGAGTTTTGGTAATCCCACACCTTCTCCCTATTTCGAAACTACGAATTCTCTGCATTATATTCACACCACACATTGCCCTCAGACATGACATCTCCACTGCCTCCAGCCTTCTCCTCGTTGCAACAGTCATCACCCATGCTTCACACGCAGACAAGTGTTGGTACAACTATACTCTCCATACATTCCCCTCTTTGCTTCCACAGACAAAGTTCTTTGTCTCCACAGACTCCTAAGTGCACCACTCGCCCCTTTTCCCCTCGTCAATTCTATGATTTACCTCCTTCTTCACAGACCCATCTGCTGACACGTCCACTCCTAAATATCTGAATACATTCACCCCCTCCATACACACTCCCTCCAATTTGATATCAAATTTTTCACCACCTTATCTTTATCCTCATAACCTTACTCTTTCCAATAGTCACTTTTAATTTTCTTCTCTTACATACCCTACCAAATTCATCCACCAACCTCTACAACTGTTTTTCATAAGAATGATAAATTATGACATACACTGACCAAATTTAATTCAAAACATTGAGGTGCAAATGAGACCAATATCCAAAAATACACGAGCACATTAACCTTGAAGTCACTCAGATGTTACCGAATCAGCATGGAAGGATTTAAATTAGATGCGACATTCAGAAACTATCACCTGAAAAGCAGTATTTCAGCTTATCCATTTTTCCAGTAAAATTAAACCCTCACGGCCCCCCCCCTCCCAAAAAAAAAAGAAAGTCTTTCTCAGTAATACTAAGTTTTTCAGAAAGTTTTTTTTTTAGTTATGTATATTTTTTTAAAACTGGGCATGAGAGGACTACAATATTACAGGCACATTAAAGATCATTAAGCTTATTAAAGCTACGTACGATGACCAATCAAAGCCAAAAACACTGACTTATTTCTGATGAGAAGAGACGCCTGAAAAATTATCTCACAAGTTGATTAATATAATTAGCAATTGATAATTTACACAACCTAACATAGAGATTATTTCCTTTGAGGAAAACGCATCAATATTAAAATTTCATAACTGACCAGGAGATGTATTTTCCCGTGGTTGCTCAGAATCCAACAAATTTTTATCCCCACACTGTCTAAATCTAAGAATTGTTCCAACAATTTCTTATTATACGTCAGCCACTGAAGATTGATGCAGTTCACAATTATCTTTTAATCAGGTCTTTTAACTACAGTATTTCAGTAAAAATTCAAACTGTTTATTCAGAATAAACTGATGGGTTATCATAATTTTGTATAGAATACATCATCAATAACATTCTGAAGCCGATCACCAGAAACATTCTTTAGTTTTTGAAGAAAAAAATTATATATTCTTATTGGAAAATTGAGACTTTTGGTACTAAATAAGTCTCTCGTGTTAAAGATACTATACCAGTGGTAAAAATTTGAAGCCGATCAGATGAGTCATTCTTCATTTATTTACTATTTTATTGCATCAAATCGGCATTGACTGAAACGACACTTAGTGGGTATTATCCTGGTCCTGAGATGCCTCAGCTGAGGTAGATTAACTCGGTATAAAGGGAATAAAATTTTCAGATTATCTTACCCCCCCCCCAAATGGTTGTATCTCCACCAACACATGATAACGACATACAAAATACTGAGAGGAATTGACAAGGTGGACAAAGACAGGATGTTCCAGAGATTGGACACAGTAACAAGGGGACACAGTTGGAAGCTGAAGACACAGATGAATCACAGGGATGTTAGGAAGTATTTCTTCAGCCACAGAGTAGTCAGTAAGTGGAATAGTTTGGGAAGCGATGTAGTGGAGGCAGGATCCATACATAGCTTTAAGCAGAGGTATGATAAAGCTCACGGCTCAGGGAGAGTGACCTAGTAGCGATCAGTGAAGAGGCGGGGCCAGGAGCTCGGATTCGACCCCCGCAACCTCAACTAGGTGAGTACATTCGAATATCGTTCTCCGATGTCGTATTTTTTGTTCTCCTTTCATGAAAGATCGCTGCAACGTCACTGAGGATTTTGGAAATTATTAAGCCATTCCAGGATGCTGGGAATGGCTTCAACAACTATGGTCATGGGACAAATGAACATGTCAATTTCTCTATGAATTTGGCCCCCGTTACGTTACACAGGTGTTGAAAATTTGATGGCGATAGGATGAGACGTTCTCGAGGTTTGAGAAAAATAAAATGGAAAAGAGGTTGGAAATATCAAGAGAAAATTAGGTAACGTTTTGAAGGTATACCCCTTCAGGGATACCCAGGAATAATAATAATAATAATAATAATAATAATAATAATAATAATAATAATAATACATTAATAAAAATATGGTATATATCAATATGTAGGGATGACGATATATTTATAATGAACTCGACATTTTCTCAGACCACCTTCAACCACAACTACCGGCACCACCTCCACTACAACAACCATCTCTACAACCACCACCTCAACAGCCACCATCACCTTCACCACTACATCCAGTATCTCTACCGCCCCCACCACCATCACCACCACCGTCATCACCACTACAAACACCAGCTCCATCACCACCTCCACTGCAACCGCCACCGAAGCCATCACTCCACTGCAACCACCATCTCCCTCCCCACCATGATTACAAGCACCGCCTCCACAGTAACTATCACTACCATCACCCCCTCAGTATCAATCAACACACCACTACAATCTTCACCTTCTTCATCACTTCTGCAGTCACAATCCGCACCACATCCACCACATGCTTATGGACAAACACTCCTCGATGTACTGTCTTCCTGGGGCTATCCAGGGTGGCTTGCCGTTAGGATTAAAAATCCGAACATTTCCTTTATTATCTTATCTTACTCTCCACCACATTCCATCACTTCAGTTTCTCCAACTCGACCAGCAGCAACCATTTCAACCAACCACAATTTCTTAAAACTACCTTCAACACTAACTCAGTCTCCGCAAACACCTTTACCTCCAATAAGTCACCACAATCATCACAATCATTTTAACAATTTCCATTATCACCACTACCAATACTACCACCAGCATAGCTACCATTGCTACCACCACGTCGTTAATAAGTGTGCTTAAATTGCAAACAATCTTACTTCAATCTCATTTCTTCCAACGCAGCTCCTCAGCTCAGTTGGGAAGTGCCTAGTATAGGCCCGTACGTCTGACGCAGTCTTCATCCATTCTTGAGTAAATATTGACTAGGTCACACAACTGTAGGGCCAACTGCATTTCTCATGTGTCCTCTGACACCTATGTGATGCTGCGTCCCAGCCAGAAGGCCGCCATTTTTTGACTCGGACCACGAGTTGGAACACACACTCTGTCTCTCTCACTGTCTGTCACTCACACACACACACACACACACACACACACACACACACACGGGGGCCAGGAGCTAAGACTCGACCCCTGCAACCACAAATAGGTGAGTACACGAGCTATGACTCGACCCCTGCAACCACAAATAGGTGAGTACGTATACAAGCATGAGCTTGCATCTGAACAAAGCTTTAAGAGGCTATCTCACACCTACAATGGCTTTGTTTGTGGAGAATATACAGCCAAAAAAAAACATTTTAATTTTTGAACTCGGAGAAACAATTAGTCGCACTCAAGACGGGTATCATACCCCTCATTTTTTAAATAAAATTAGCATATTAGCAAATTAGCCAGTACAGTATTTAGTGAGACTCGTAAATAATTGCAAAGAACCTCTTGGTTAGATGCATCTTCATTGCAAATTTGAAACCATTCAGAGGAAGTGTATCCTCCAGTTATCGCATTTGAACCAATATCCCATTTTGGTCTATAAACTTAGTAAATTGGCACCTGTACAGTGCAATAATTAAAACTTTCCTGTAGGTATGATAAGACAGTGTTGAAACCTTCAAGTTGATCGCATGGAACCCTATGAGAGAGAAAATTCTGATAACCGCCAAAGGTCCATTTTTCCGGAGCTACCTATAATATTTTTTGAAAGACTGGAAACAATTGGACTGCCATGTGCATTTTCGCCACGCTATAACCTTGACTATATTAACGAATCTTCAACAATCTATAAGAAATGTGATTTGTTTTTCAGTTTTTCATAGTTATATTAGTTTATATCATCAGTAAAATCCTCACAAAATATTTTTTTTATTTTTGTCGAAAAAAATTTGCTTCAAAAACACACTGGACATCTTATGGGTAAAAATCAAAGTGACAATCAAATAACAATCCTAACATTCCATCAGCACTGAAAGGTTAAAGCCGCTTAAAAGAGAGAGACTTTGTTTATAACCGGAAACCAATATCGCAGTTTATTGAAAATAAGTGAAAAATTGACAAGTACGCAGTTGAAATCCAATTCCTTTAGCAAGACTTTCTAGTGTGGAATATTGAAGGGAATATAACGAGACATTTTCCAGGTATAACAAAGAAAGCAATAACTTCCTTTCTTTAAATAGGACAAACTGGGGAAAAATTCCTAAATTTTGAAAAGGGAGGGGGGGGGGTACCGGTAAGCCAGCTGAAGGCCTCGGTCAGATGACAGAAAGCTTCAGCTGCAGGTCATCATATGACTAAGACCCACGTTAGGAAACATTTGTCCTGTTTCCTGACGAACCTAAACTAAACTGACCTGACATGACTTAACTTAATCTGGGTTATTCATATCCCTAACACATTTCGAATCTTTCTCTACCAACCTCTTCAAGGGGGGCTCCTTGGCGTGGTGAAGAGGCTCTTGGTCTGAGGAATTAGACCTGTTGGTCTCCTTCCTCAGACCGAACCTACTTACCCCCTAATCCCCCCTTCCCTATCCCATCCTCCCCATCCTCCCCTTTTTCCTTTCCTCCTCCTCCTCCCCACCCCTCCCTTTTGCCCTTCCTCTTTTTGGCCTTTGGGATTTTTCCCACAGGCACACTAGTTCATAGGTAGGGGGAAGGGTACCGGGGTCCATCCCATTCCGTTGAGGTTCTTGGCGGTGGCGTAGTTTGCCGTGGGATCTGGATCGCATGGGGATGTCCCGATCCCTCTCTGGTATCCCGGAGGGTGGCTTTGGGTGTCTTTCGGGCGACGGGTGTATCTCTGGAAGCCACCTTTCGGATTCCGGGGGTGGTGGCCGAAGGAGGTATGCTTTGTGGCAGATATCCGACCGCCCTCTCTTTTGTCCACCGAGGTACCTCGGCAGATGTGAGGTTGCTATCCCGGATTGCTGGTTTACTGGCATGAAGGGTAGGGTATGGCACGGGTTCCATGCTGCATCTGCGCTACTTGCGGTGCTGAGGTCCTCTTGGGCGCGGAGGGAGATTTCTGGCCCTTTCATTCCTCCTAGGAACTATCCCTCCCCGGTCCCCCCTTTTTTTATTCTTTTTTTATTTTTATTTTCTTTTTTTTTTTTTCTTAAAAACAAAAAGAAGGAAGTAACTTAACCATGGAGTCCCAAATCCATGACCCCGCTACCCCCGGGCCCCTTATTGTTACCGCACCCTGTTCTGACCTCGCCTCATCTTTTGGCCACTCTTTGGACACTCCTAAGGCCCCTGTACCTCTTGCTGGGGCCTGGTACTTAGCAGTAAGGCCACCCACATCCCTCTTGCTTTGAAAAGATGAGCAGTCTTGTTCTATTCTCTATTATGTCAAGAAATCGCAGATGAGACGGAGGACAGGTAATCCAAGGAAGTGGAGTGTACTTAAGGTGTGAGCGTGTTCGCCTCGTACAGAATCTTGAAACTTGTACTGTTCGAGCAGATGCGATAATTGTCGAAGTCCTGTAATCTTCCTGGCCGCTTTGTTTGCAAGATTTAAATTTTTTTTTTTTTTTAATAAATTTTACCAAAGAATATCAGCTTCATCCCCGAGTACCAGCACTCTCCCACTCATTCTTACTACTACTGCTGCATATTATCAGGGAGTTATCATTTGTATTTTCTGTCCCCCCCCCCTCTCCTTTTCTTACACAGGGTTTGACAAGGGTAAGGATCCCTAGCTTTATTGACAAGGTATTTACAGGTTAAGGAATCCTAACTTTATTGACAAGCTAAGAGCTGTTACCTACATCAGCTCATTTGAAAGCATTTTCGTTATGAAACATACAAGTAGGGAACATGATGAAGTTGGAGCCATCTGTGGGCCAGAATTTTCATTTGATCAACTGACTTAATCTCGTTGACATCATAATGCTGTATGAATGTGTTCCAGACCTGAGTCTTCTTGGGGATAAATGATCTCAGATGAAGTAATGTTCTGGAGAAGGGTACAGCCAGAATGAAGTTGCTGCTTTCTGCCCGTCTTGTGGTATTGAAGCTTGCTTCACGCTTTCCTGGCCTTGTACATCACAGTAAGGCCAACCACATTCTCTCTCCCCCCCCCTTTCTATCTCTCTCTCCCCTTCTCTAGCAACGTATGAATAGTGTCTTCAGCAGAGTAGATTTACTAACGTCAGCAACATAGTGACTTCGGCAGACTATATGCAGTTACGTAAGGAAGAAAGCTACAGTGGCGTCAGCATCAACATAGTGTCGTTCGTAGAGCAGATAAACTGATGTCTTAAGGGTAACATAACGTGAGTTACGTACATTACATATGTAGTTACGTCAGCAGAGTAGATAGTGACATCATCAAGATTCGGTAGGACAACCCACATATAGTGTCATCCGCATACAAAATGCCCGTTAATTCTGCCAGTGTTTTCCTGTACGGTTGTCAGCAGTTTATACACAATACCATCAGCAACAATGACACTGTATCGTGAGCAGTAACATGGATACACTGGCTGTATCAACGCAGATACTGAGTAGTTACTCAAGCTTTCAGTATCCTTCAGAGAGGCTCAAGCTCCTCGGAAATTTTGAAGGGACCACCTTTCCTGTGATGGCCTTTGAGCCCTCAGCTTCAAGATGTGGGGACAGACGAACTGGCCACGAGGAAAATCTGTTCTGTTGGGGACGTGTGTATGTGTCTCCAAATGTTTGCTGGATGTTTGAGGAAGTATTTCTTATTTTCCTGTGGACATTTCCGCATTGTTTGCTTACAGTAACTTGATGTTTCAATATTTTTTTCTATATTTTTCCTATTTTATTAACCTTGGGTATATGAGACATGTAGGAGAGCGAGGCGATAACCCTAGGTTTATGAAAGACTTATTCTAGAGTGAACCCCTAGGTGAAAGACGCACTAGAAGACCCCCCAGGGGTAGGTGAACTACTCACTAGATACCCCCCGGGGTATGTGAAAGATATTCACCCCTGGGTAGGTGAAAGACACTCGCATGTTTAGGTGAAACCCACAAAAACGAACCTTTTTAATCCTTGATATGTGAAATATAGCTGAACGAACCTTATATATTAGTGAAAGTTTCTCACAAAACAGAGCTTAGTCAAGACGATGTGTAGATCTGATGCAGTTCTATTTAAGGCGAAACTTCTAATAAAACTGTTTATGGGAAACATCATCTAATAGTCTCATTTATGGAAAAACGTCATGTAATAAAGCGAAATCTAATGGGGAAATTTAGCTAAGCGCTGCGTTTACTAAGAGCTCTGTACCATATGTTTCATTTAATAATAATAATCATGAAATAATAATTATTTCTACAGATACATGGCTACTTGGTATCCTCAGTTTTCTTTTTCCTTAAAAAAAAA